TAAGGCTAGAAGAAATTACTGTGCTCTTTTACTCCGATCTCTAGTATAATACTGGTCACAGGGAGTAACTATTAACAAAAGCATCTCTTAAAAAATCCAATCTCCAATTTAAAATGCTTTTTGTATTTTCTTTTTCCTTAGCGACCTGCTTTAGTTAAAAGAATTCTTATCTTGAGTTAAACAAGACAGATTTAAGATCCAGAGAGGCACCAAAAGCACTCCACTTTATAAATGAGTCATTTGTAGACTCTCATTTAAAGGGTCAGAGATTGGTACCTACATTCTCTGCACTGAGTGGAGAAAGTCAGCTACATCTGAAGGCTGATTCAGTTCATCCATGTGATAACTAAGAAGCCACCTAGAGCTGTCAGCAGGTATGTTTGGCAGAAGGCTGTCCATATTGCGACCTTTCTTGCTGAAGTTCAGAAGTCTACCCCCTATTGCACACTGGATGCCTTTACCTATCTGAAATCCTAAATTTCAGTTCCTTCTTGGAGGATGATAGGTACCTAACTGAAAGGAATTCACCTCTTTTAAAGCATGATCGTACAGAAAAGGACTAACCTCTCAGCCTTGTGGTTAGTGCACGCTGCTGGAAAAAGCCAGAGTAAGAGCTGATTGCCTTTGCCATCACTTACCTGCAAGCACCAAGCAACTTCAGATGTAGCACAAAGTGAAAGCTTTCTGGGGTCAGAAAACAGAAATGAGGGAGATTCTGGATTAGAAATTAGGACAGTGAAGCCTGAGGTCCCACCTCAGTGCACCGCACTGCGTATGCATTCCACAGTAAGTAATCACTCAAAATGAAAACAGAAATCAGCCAGGCAGTTAAGATCATCGCCCAGACTTTCAACTTGCCCAGATCACTAGGCTGCAAAGTCAGGCCTCCTCAAGTGAGTCCCTCAGCTCCCTTACTTTCTTACTTTCTATTTAGCCTTATAAATCTTGCATTGCTTCCTCTACCTAGTCTGACAGAATGGATAGGAGAGCAGGTCAGTCTATGGCATGATGCTCTCTGGGTTTGAAATAAGAGAAATAGAAGTAGAATAATTACCAAAACTAAAAAATTATGCTAGAAGGCTGTATAAGTACAATTTTAGAGGTGACTTCATCAGGCTTCGTCTACACTGGAACAGGAGAAATTAAGACCAGGCAATTAAAGGTGGGAATGTAATGCAGTCTAGTTGAAGAATGAGTAATCTCTGTGTAGACGCTCTCACACAGAACCAAAGTGGTCTAATTCCTTCGGATTACATTAGAGCAAACTAAGGCCAATTGACTTCTGCAGTTTACCATAGCAGAAAACACAGGTATTCCTTGCCTCTTGTCTACAAAGAAACACTAAAGAAAGTTAAGTTCTAAAATTCAGTTTACCTTCATATCCTGTACACAGTCTTTTTGCAACATAGCGATCAACAGAAACCAAGAAAGAAATAAAGGTAGATCTAACGGATGATTCAGACACTTTAGTAATCCAAAGTCAAAAGACAGAATCTTAAAGCCCCATTGATCTGCATTTAACCCTAAAGTTCATAGGTGCCTTAAATTTCCCACAAAATTCCTTAAGTGCTTAGGGGTGAAATTAATCTGACCTACTGTGAACCTATATCTTTCAGCTCTCGTCACTCCAGGCTCCCTTTATAATTTCCACTTTATAATAGGGGAGAGTTGCACAACTTTTCTAGGCTCAATTTCTTTTACCCTAACGTAAACTTCCAAAACAGCTCATATAAATCATAGCTAAAAACATCCACTCATTTCCAGTGACTGCAAAGGAGCCTCAGGTGATTAGATCAGGATGAGGTGTGCATGCTACAGATAGCTAAATTAAGGCAGACCAATCCCATCGTAAAAGTCTGCTTCTGCACATGCCTAGAATTGCTGCAGCACTGACAGCAGTGAAAAGTGCACTGTCTATCTCAAACCAGGTGTGACTGTAAAACAGAATAAGCTTTACAGAGTCTACATCACATAAGAAAAGTCCACTCAGCAGGCATTTTCAGAGCTCATCTGAAAGGCTGCCAAAAAAACATGCTAAGCTAGAATTCTTGGTATCCCACTCCCTTTACCTAGTAATTCTGCGGTTAAAACACTCAGGAGAGAGGCATGATTTCAGTTCCTCTCAGGATCTGAGTGGATTTTAAACTACAGCTTCTGTCTCTCCTGAATGCTTTAAGCAGCGCATTCTTACCTAACCTGAAGTGAGAAGAGGGGGCATTCTCATCCCCTTCTGTAAAAGCTGTTCCTTTTCAAATGAAATAATTAAATATTCACTGGGAGAGACTGAGACCTGGGCTGGACAGCTAGTGCATGCATCGGCAATGGGGACAAACCTCGCTCCTGTTCCTCCTCTCTTGAAAACAGAGCACTGAAATTCCATACCATCTTATATCAAACAGTGACCGGAGCACAGTCTCCCCCATTCTTGCGAAGAAACTAACTTATTCTCTTTGGCCCAAGCAATGCTAAGCTATTTGATGTGAAACAGCCCTCAGGAGGGACTGACAGTGTCTCCCATCTCCTCCAGAGTATACTACAGTATACAACCGGAGACGTGACATGAGTTCAAGTCTCCTTCAGTAAGGAAGGGAAGGAAATCCAAGTCCAGGGAACCAAATTCTAAACCATTGGTCTCACAGTTAAAGTATCAATAAAGAAGCAAAAAATGGTGGAAGAGATGACACTTCATCTCTCTTCCTTTGAGAGGACTCCTTCCAGAGTAATACAGCACTGACACCCCCAAAACCAACACGGCTTAACCATACACCTTGTCTTGAGCTTTTTCTGTCAGCAAGCTACAGTGGCTCCCTCTTGTCACACTGGCTTTTTTGACACTAATCTCAGCCACCAAAATCTCTCATGTCTTGACACAGAGCCTAGGCACCTTAAATCACAAGGAAACACTGTGCTATTTAACACAGCAGTTATTACAGCTGCTTCGGAGATCAGATTAAGTTACCCTTGGAGGAATTACTGTCATTTTATTTAACTAGATCTCTCCTTTGAATGGAAGGGGAAGTGTTTGTCAAATTCCTACTCATGTTGGTGAACAGACTTAATTTTATTCCAGGTCAACCACAGAGGTTTGCACTGCAGTGATCTGTTTAAGATACAACACCAACTAAGCAAGTTGTATGTCTCATCATAGCTGTTCTGCACCCACACACCAGGAAAACTGGTTATATAGACACGGGCAACTAAAACAGGAATAAGTTCTAGTCTGATATTTATGAATACTGTGTTGCTATTTTATGCACCATTTTCCATTTCTGAAGTTATTAGTGATTTTATATCAAGTTGCATTCACTGTTGCCCAATAAAGTAAAATAAAATGACATAATCCTAGTATTCTGTGCATAAAGTATCTGTAACTTCCCTTTGAAAAACAAAACCCTGATTTACAAGTGGTGCTTAAGAACTAAAAAATATGCCCCAGTACCACTCACATCTTCCTCCATCACAGTGCAGTCACTGACTTATGGCTCTTTTGCCCCTCATATCAGATTTGTGACTTTCTTTATAAATGACATTTTCTTTTGAGAGCAAGCAGTAGGAACTTTAGGCCTGTTGGACGCTGACCAGCAGCTTCTGTGCCCAGGGTGCTCGTGCAAATGGAGACAAATCAGCTGAGGGATTCTTATTCAGCAACGAAGCAGCTATAGACTGTTGTAGCTCAGCTGCAAAGAGACAAATGAAAGAGGCTGTATAAAGTCTGCAACACTTCTGGGGATAAAAGAACTAGAATCCTGAAGAAACACTAGAGGCAGAGAATGTACACGCTCCCCTAACAGCTGCTCCCATAACAACTTGTCCCTGGCAAACCCAAACTCATAATCAAAGGTGGTAAAACTTGCTCTCAGCCTTTCACAGCTGCTCCAACCTGTACCCAGGCTGGGACAGAGTTGAATTTGCTGCTCCAAATCCTCCTCCTCCTTCCACAGAGGCAACACCAGCATCTCTTGCGGTCACCATACCCACCCCCTCGGCACAACAAACCAAAAGGCACCACCTTGGGAGGTGGAGAGGCAGGAAGATGCATTGTTTGCAGAAGTACAGGGAAGGAGTTCCAAAATTAGGTGTGCAGGCAGCTGCTCAAATTGGATTATCCTGACTAAGCAAGGCCATTCCATAGCAACTGGAAACACCCATCCCCTTTCAGCAACTCTTCAGGAACATGCCTTGATGCCTCATAATTTAAAAGAAAATATTTTAGCAGATTTTCTGCTATATCAGCAGCAAACCGAAAAATTCCCCCTAAACAGCCTGGATGCTGGATCACTTTTCGTTTTACTAATATGGGCAATAATTCATCAAATACTAACATGCAGCACTTGAATCATAAAGGTCACTGTCTTGTGCTGAAATGAATCATTCCATGCAGTACCACTGCCTGTTTTATCACACAATAAGATGATTTTGATTACTCAGTCCTAGCTAAAAGGTAGTAAACTTACTTCAGATGGTATTTTTAGGACGGTTATTTTCTCTTTAGGCCTTCTCTCTCTTCTTTGCTGGATATCATTTAATTTAGTTCAGATATGTTGACACACCTCTACCCAATTTCTGGTAATAGAGCATTTTGTAAATTCACTACACAAACATTTTGACCTAAACAAAATCCATCAAAAATTCAGTGAAGACAGCTAACATCAATCTTTGTTAGTTGACTTACAAACAAAAAAAGTTTGGAAGCTGGGTATTAAATTCAAGAGGCCTTTTGCTTAGGTTGTGAATGCACACAGGTATAGCAATGCAATAGACTTCTGCCACATTTTTGGAGAATGCTCATGTTTATTTTTTTCCTTCATGTTTCTCAGGTATTTTCACAGGTGTAATATGTACAGAAAAGACAACATCGTTCTACTTAACAGCTTGTTTTAAAACAGTAATTCAAGGTTGCTCCACATCAGAAAATGACTACGTCTCAAAAAAGGATCAATTCAGTTCATAATGGCAAAGTAGTGGCTCCTGGAAAACTGGACTTAAAAAGTTCTTCACCATTCCAATGACAACAAACTTGTGCTCTGAATTTTTATTTTTCACATAAAAATAAATCAGAATATCTTTCAAGGAGGGCAATGTTGAATGTCTTGAGAATTAAAAACCTCAAACGATTGCAGAAAGACCACTGAAATCTGGCAGTCATTTATGCATATGCCCAAATAAGAGAAAATATAAAAGCATCCAGCATACAAGTGAAAAAATAATCAACAGAAAGCAGTAAGAGGCCAAACAATTTTCTTCTCTATATACATATTTTTATAGGAGTAACAAGAAACGTCAAAAATACACAACCTTGAGTACAAAAGAACTATTTTAGCAATAGGTTTGTACAAATGAAAGTTGTGAAAGCAGCATGCTTTGACAGAACGAGCTAAACCACAACATAATTGAAAAATACATTCATTTCAATACTCCATACCAAAGACTTCTGAAAAATCTAATGCAAGGGAATACAGTTTAGTAACGTACATCGTTTCTGGAGAGGAAGAAGTTTATAATTCCCCAGTAGAATCAGAAAGAATCAAGCTAATCTCAATTTTTAAAATGCTGACTTGTCAAACCCATTAAAATGCCCTTATAGCCCTAATCCTGGCAACATGTATGTCTTGTAACATTACAGATATAGACAATGTTATGCTCATCTTGACAGGATCACAGAGAGCAAGACTAAGCAGTTTAATGGTCTGTAACTTGATCCTAGAACTTCAGCTGTAATTATCAAGGCACTGCTCTAAAGACAGTATATTAGACACGATAGGCCAAATAGTTCTGTAAACACGTAACTAACCTGGGTTACTTCTATGCCACCTTTTTTCCTTTTCTGAACACTCTTCTATTCACTGTATGCTGTGATCATCTGTAAAACTTAAGTGTGAATACTGTAGCATCATTTAAGTTGCTTTTGGATTTGGGCCATCCAGGGTTTTTTTTCTCTGAGCCTCAACTGATCCAGCTCTGAGCAGAAACCCTGCTAGAGTAGGGGTAAACACCAAGTTATCCAGAAAAATCAGCTTTGACACTTGCAATTTCTATTTCACAGCAAGTACAAATCAGAGATTATGAAACCCCCCCCCAAAATGTTTCCCCTTCCTCTTCAAGAAAGTCATTTCACTAGCTTTACTGCATTACTCATCATCTTTCCTTCTTGAGTCACTACATTTTATGCCATTGATTCAAACCCCTAATACCGTAGCTCTGGAAGACAGCAAGAATACCTGCTCCTGCCAGCACAGACAGTGTATATTCCCATTGAATTACGTTAATTTAAAGCATAGTTTTGCTGCTTTCAGAGATAAAAGGGAATGACAGCTCTGAAACAGAAAATCCATATTACCCAGGTCATAAACTTCTGCTATTCACGTAAATATAATTGAAAAAACAAAAGCTCTATTGCAAAGACACACTAAAATACTCTTGTTTTACAGCAGAACTCCTTTACTGCCTTTCATTCTGACCACAAAACCCATATCGTCGCCAGTGGAATTGACAAGGAATGGAAAGCAGACATTAACAACATAGTGGCCTCCTGGGTACCTTTACAGCGAATCCACAACCTGGACTAGCAGTGTATTAACAGGCTTTTAAAATTTTTTTTAATGAAATGAGTAAATTAAAAATTGTTCCTTTTACATTCCTGGAATTTGAATATAATCAACATTTATACCAATAGCTGTCAATGAGAGGAACAGAGATTACAGTTAAATTAGTTCTTCACTGAAGACATTTACTTTTGTGCTGTAAATGCTTAACTAGCCCCAGAAAGCAAGCAGTCCCTCAACACCCATGCAGTGCAGAATGTTTCCTGCACACATTCAGTTGAATCCTTATGCAGCTTGTCGTAGACATTTGCTCCTCAGGGACAAGAACAAAGAAGAGGACCCTGTGCTTCGCAGTGCTGAAAAGAGCTGCAGCCAAGAGAACCCTGAACCCCAGCCCTGGATAAATCGGATGTACATTACTCCTCTTCTTTGCAATCACAGACCGCCCTGAACAACTCCCTGCAAGGATGCACAAGTTCTGCAGGCATCCTTCCCTAGCCCCAGCGCAACTAAGGATCTCTCTTCAAAGCCTTCATTTTACTCACCTTTCATCATTTCCTTGTTCAGGAATCTGGATTGCTATCATCAAGGGAAACCTTTGACTTTCTACTTTCAGGGTAGGTACCAAGACAGCCTGACATCAGAGATGGTTCAGGTAGAGAATCTGATCTTTAACACATGACAACAGTAGAGCAAACCCCTGAGGCAGCAGGCACTACAAGGGGAAAGGGGTCATGAAAAAAAAATCAGTGTAACGTAATATCAGAGAGAAAGAGGGAGTTCAACTAAACTCCATCCATAGCAAACTGCTGGCTAGCCGTTATTCATTATTGCCAGTTTATGGTTTCAGTTTGATACTTAAATTGCAAAACAAGTCAGTCTTGTTTGTTTGTTTGTTTTTTCTCCAGTCATTGCATGCAGACTAAATCTTAAGCCTCAACTATGGTTCGTGTTCTGTTTGTTCGCTGGTTTGCCCTACTATCCCTAATTCTTTTCTAACAAATATCTGATAGCACAATTTCAGCAACATAGAGCATAGCTTGCCTAATGAGAGCTCCAAACAGAAATATCATTATACCAACACAATGTAAATTGTAGGTCCAAAGTCACAACTTCCACACTTTCAGGTACATCACTAGATTTGGATAGTTTGTTATCATCAAAAATAACATCTACATCCACCCTTTCCCCCATGCCAATTTTTATGTGAACTCTCTTTCACTAGAGTTTGTGTTAGCCTAAACCTCAGGACATGGCATTTTCATTCCCTTTCACTTCTCTGTTCTCTCCTTTCAACTCCCCTAATAACTGAGCAGTTAATGTTACTGTTGATCGACTGTCAGAAGAACAGCAAGTCTGTGACTGTGAGTGTAAATATAACAGCATAAATTGCCCTCCTAGAGCTTAAATGGGTTTTTCATTAAAACTCACCAATATAATGAATAATAATCATAATACCCCTTCAACAGAGAACAAAATATTCCAATCAACAAGTTCTGTAGCAAGTTTTGTAAAGTGCACAAAAATATTAATGGAAATATTAAAAAAGAAAAATTTTCTAGTGTCACCATCAAAACTTCGGAAATATTGTTAAAATTAAATAGAAGTTATCTAATGAGACTTTTTGGCTCTAATATGTTGGCAAGCAGCAGCAACATTTTTCGGAAAAATTACACCAACTGAATATACTGTATCTTAGCAGCATAAAAACCCTACAATTAGATGCAATTGCAGGCCTAGTAAGCATAAACCTGACAAAGTGTTACAAATGTAATTTTTGTTTAAAAGAATGGATTTCCATGGAATCCTAGAGGTAACATTTGTTATTTTGTTTACATTGTATTCTGGTAGTAAAACCAACTATAATCAATCACTTCCCCTCTGTTTCTCTCTCCTCCCAAAATTGCACAGAGTATTGGAAAATTTAATCAAGTTGTATGGCCACACTCAAGAAGCCATATTAAAGAAAACAAAAATCAACCAAATCTTAAAAACAAATAATCCTAGAAAATAATCATCATGTCAAACAACTGCAGCTTCACACTACCGACCGATGCTCCCCACACACGTAGATGGCACTGGGTCGAATGCGTCGCCTTGTATGGCCAGGTAGCTGTGGCAAAAACTTGAAATATTTGGGCATTAAGTCTAAGCATGCATCATGAAACTTCTTAATCCTCCAGTAGTAGATCAGTGGGTTCAGTGCAGACTTGAGGTAGCAGAGCCAAAGGAGCCAAGTGCTTATCTCAAAAAAGTTGTGCTTGTAGTAGAAGTGGCTGTTGAATGTGGCAATAAGGCTGTAAGTGGTGAAGGGTGCCCAGCAGACTATGAAGACAAGGAACAAAATCAAGATGGTTGTGAAGGCACGAGTTTTAAAGCTCATATCAATATTCATCTGAAAAGGTCTCTGTAAGCTCATAAGACCAAGTTTGCTGGCCTGGCTGAGGCATATGCTGTCAGGGTGACTATGGATACGAACTGCATTGTGGCGGACGGTGTTGAGTATGCCCATGAAAGAATACAGCATTACCAGGAATGGAATAAAAAAAGAAATTAACAAGATAAGTATCACATAGGCCCGGTAGCCTGGGCTTGTAGAGTAGCCAAATACACACTGAGGTGCTCTTGAGGGTATCTGCAGATTAGGATTCCCTACTGATAGCGGAAAAGCAACAACAAAGGACGCTGCCCAGGAAATCACAATAAGAAATTTTGCACGGTAAGGGTTCAGTTTATCTTGCCTCTGAACTATGATAAGAAATCGGTCAATGCTAATAATAAGAAGAATTGCTACCCCTTCCATGACAAAAAGCCAGAAAAACATGGCAGAAACTCTGCAGAATGTATCCCCGAAAACCCACTGAGTGGTAATGATTGTTATCAGAGCAAAAGGCATGTTCAGCACTGCCAGCAGCATGTCTGCAAAAGCCAGGCTTGCTAAGAGAATGTTAATTGCAGATCGCATAGCAGCCTTCTGGTAGACCATGAGGCAGACAACAAAGTTTCCAAGGAAAGAAACCAATAGGATAAATATCATAGCAGCAGAAAGAATGATCTGGAGCGGCAAACTCAAGCTCCTGAAAACGTCTTGCGATGGCAGGATAGCTGTAGTGTTTACCAGAAAAGTACTTCTCTCAGTGGTGAGCACAGTACCTGAACTATATTTCAATGGCTGTGTTGTGCCACTACGAAGCAAAAACTGGGGAGTGGTAAAATTCATATAGGCATTTTCATAAACAATAAAAGTAGCATTTGAGGTCCCAGAATGGGCCAGTGTCAACATTGCTGAGAAAACCATTGCTTCAGAAGGAATGAATGCAGAATCAAAGGTCTTCAAGTCATTTCAGCTTGTTCAGGCAGTACCTTATTTGCGGTCATTTGCCAAATCAAAATTCAGTGTCTGAAAGCATCAAAGCTCCTAAACTCACGTCAGTATTTCCATCTGAAAAAGAAGAAAGCAAGCAAGCAAGATTCTTGAAAGTCTGTGGGAACTAGGAGATCCTTCTGCTTTCCTTAATGCCAAAAGGATCCTTACTAGACCTTTAGTAATATTTTAGGTCAGTGCATTTTTCCTAAGCACTGGTCACAGGAGTCTCACAATATTTGGTCTTTTTCTTAAAGCTCCTACTCCTGTAGTCTTGCTGATGCTGTACGGTACTCTCACTCATCAAGCTTTTCTCTACTATTACCAGGACTGAAAAATTTTTCATCAGTAAAGACCACATTTTCAAACACTGCAGTGAATAGTTCAAATCAGTATCTTTATTTAAATCTCATAATTTTTAAACTAACCTCATTTTTTTTGAGATCACCTACAGTTGAAAATATTAGCAGTATTTCCAAATAAATAGCATGATCAATACCTGTCTGCTTGTTTGGTAGGCACTGACACCAAGTATCCAAGCTAATCTATCTATCTATTATGGAGTTCCTTGCTCCATCTCAGTGGACAGTACTAGATGCCTCAGAAAAACCATGCAAACCATACAACCTTTTACTAATTAATAACTTGTCTGCAGGATTAAAGTATTCCTCAATTTGTTTCATTTAGTGACTGACTCATATCAAGTTGCAGGAAATTAACTCTTCTTCAGTCTTCACAACCCCCTCCCCTTGCAGCAAGCTTTCCTGTTGTCACTGGTCTAGATATGGCTTTGTTAGTCCATCTTGATATCCCACATAATTTAACTGTGCACATCTTTTTCCTTGTAAACCTCATCCTTAGATATTTTGCTAAACTCCTTCCCCCAGTATTATACTGCAGGAATATAGCATCTCCTTTTATCGGTTTACATGTACTGTCTTAAGTATTTCAGCAAATATACACTGTTCTTATATATACATGACATGTAACAAAGCTGAGAGCTGTCTCCCACTTCCAGTGGGAGGTTTTCCAAAAAACTCTTCCTATCCATCCTGGACTAATTAAACACTCCCAGAGAGCTCTGGCTGGAAACCAACAGGATTCTATGTCCTTCTTAAAAAAGATTATCGCAGCCAGAACCTAAGTGAGATTCATCTCATCCAATCTGAATGTCTGCAGTAGCCATTTTAGGCTCTGCTTTTCATCAGAAAAGATATAGATACCTTCAGAGCACAATCTGTCTCATCCATCTCAGCACACAGCAACAAGCTTGTGCTATTAACTCAAGATGCCTATATCCGATAAGACAAATCCAATCCACAGTATCTACACAGGTTCTTTTTGGCATCAACACTAGGCACAAGTGAAGTGAGAAAGGAATGTGTCTAAGAAATTTAATAAGCACCACATGCTTAGTGGAGGATCAAAAGCTTACTCTTCTCAAGGTAGCATTTGGCTAACAAAGTAGTGAGCTGTAAAACAACACAGTATAAGCTCTTTCCCCAGGATGGACTTCTAGTGATACAAATTTAAGCCTGATCAAGCAGCTTCCAAGGTTTCTGGGTTACAGTCAGAACAGATTCATCAAGGAATATCAGCATTATGGCCTGCTCCTCTCACTCCACAGCAACGCTGCTCTCTTCCTATCTTCAAGCTCAATATTGCTAGATATTTTCCAGGGCCAGACCATCTTCAGCACTTTTTCTTAAGACAACAAGACAATGGAGAAACATTATTATAATACACACTTCTCTCACCGAGTCATATAAATTCCATTTTTTAAGATGTCCTCCTCTCAAATCAGAAGGATAGATGTCATCATTTTTTTATTTTAGCTTACATTTTGAAGATTGTTAAACTCGTCAAGAGTCTACTAAGCTATGCACATCGGCATTTTTGTAAAAATGCCAGTCACCTTCATTCTAGATTTTCCCTTTCTCGCCTTACTATTCCTTTCATTTTTATACGGAAAGCCTCAATGTTAATCACAGGCTAAAGCATATACAGCAGCCATAGAGCATATATTTCTCCTTCTTTTTGTTGTCTTTATAAACCTTCCTTTACTATTTTAACAAATTTGTTAGAACAAAATCTGTAACTAACAGCAGAAAGGAGGACAGATTTTAACAACAAACTTCAACATCTCACCTCAAGTTCCACAGAGGCTTTTGACTCCACAAGCCAGGAACGCTGAAGAGTGAAAGTAGCTGCAGCATTCTGCAGGCACTGCAAGAGACCATAAGTTCAACAAATAATTCCGGATCTGAAAACGTGGAGTACATAAAATGAGGGCAGTATCTTTCAGAGCTCTATAAACAATAAGCCAGTAAAGGTTAAGTTTTGGATTTCTACAAAGAAAATCCGTACTAGGGTTCAGGCTGTTCAACAAATGGGGAAGAAGGTGGAAAAGGTAAAATCATGATATTTTCTGAAGACAAACTTTTTTTCCCGAGCAATTTAATAAAAATAAGTCAACTCTAAAGAGGTTCTCACGACAGTGACAATGCAATGAACTGCCAGATAAAGTCAGGGTTGGTAAAGCTATTCACGTATAGAAAAATAAGGTTATAAGCACAGTGGCAGGTGCTAACCAATTATTATCATCCAAGGAAAACCAAATACACACACACCACAGATCTTGTAGTTACGATAGGCTGCTGTATGAAAATATCAACCAGGTGTTTGGAATTATTAGCAAAGCAACAGACAAGAAAAGCAGGAGCTATATATATGCACTATATATCAATATACACTACCTGCTACAATATACAACCGTGGCAGCTTGCATCTTCAATAATATGTGCAGTTCCACTCCACTCCATCTCCATTCAAAAGTGACTGAAAAAAGGTATCACAGAGGTCTATAGAATAATTAGTGGCACAGGGAAAGCAAATGATTACTAACTCTCATCATACAAAAACTAAGGAGTACCAAAGGAAATGATTATTTAACAATTAATTGAGGAAAGTATTTGCCACAGGATGCTGTGGATGCTAAGGAAATTATGAGGGTTTAGAAGGCAATTTAGGACATGTTTCACGTGATTATAGATATCCATGTCAGGAAGAAATGTATCACTCACAGGAAGCACCTATCTCTCTCTCTCTGGACTGTAAAAGAGGGCACGGCAGTCTGATTTGAATACAGGCATTTAGAGCGTGTACATCCAGTTACTTTGACTAACTTTAAACAAACACAACAGAATTTGCTTCACCTACGTTTGCGGCTCTTTCAACATGTTTATGCCACACAACTTTACATTCTGGAATATGATATTAGCCTTAGATGATAACAGGAATCATAAAAGCCCTAAAGAGAATAAACAACAGATGTTTATGTTCAAAGGTAAAGAAAAAGAGTGTATTCTAAAACTTTGATTCATCATGAATCGTCCCTTTAAACAGAAGGAACCAGACAGGGGGAGCGGAACAGGAAAATAACTTTCTGCACCCTTACTCAAGAAGATTTTTCTCTCCTGAATTTCCTCAAGCCAGTGATGTCCTGTCAGTGGCCATGGACTCCCAGGCATCTATAGACTAAGAAAAATAATCTCACATATGCTCTCTCACCATCCCAGCTCGCTAAGCAAATAGCCACCTTCTTTTTTGTGCTTTCTCTCCTTGCTATGAAGCTTGTATGCTTTTCTGTTCAGTTTTAAGAGAAGTGGTGGAGAACATCCTCATGCAAGCTAGTGCCTGGACCTAGCTGACTACTCAATGTTGGAGGTGGGCTTTAGCCGTTCGGTTGTTCCATAGGTCATCAGATCTCTCTTCTTTTCAAGAAGGATGAAACAAACTGTAATTTGTTCTTGCAAAGAACATACCTAACCTAAAAGGAGGACTGCAGGCTTTCAATCTCAGGTAGAACTAGAAGTTTCAAGTGTTGCTCCCAGGCTCACTGTTTCCTGACAGTTTCTAGGCAGCACCTTTCTCAGTACTCAGTTCATTCATCTGAGATGTGTAACCTCTCCATCCACAGGGAATCTACATGCTTAAGCATGTTTCAGCTACACTTATCCCACTTGCAGGTAAAGCTAATTATGCTTTTTCTTGGCAATCATCTTCATAAAATAAGTGACTAGCATTCCAGTCATCGAATTCAAGAGGAATCCTCCCGTACATTTTTTTCTTTAAAAAAAAAAAAAAAAAAAAGGAC